TTCCCCCCCCCCCCCCATCCCTCTCTAGTTCTCCCTTAGGTTAGGGTATTGTTAATTGTTTCAATAAAGCATTAGCATACAATGAGTTTACGCTAAAATATATGTTAAATCTATTAATATTGTATAAAATCATCCATAAAAACTCATTTCTAATGTTGTAGCGAAAGAACTCATACTTTTCCTAAGTCCTGGATATGAAGATTTTAATTCTTCTACGCACTCGTTACTATCTTAAGCGATGAGTATTTGTGAAACTATTAATATATTGTCATGCGCGTCAAAATGTGAATATTTTTGCAGGCGTAGGTCATTTTATTTTCAGACAGGCCTAAAAATATATCAAACTCATCTGTACCAGATAATTAGGGTTGATTAAGGTTAATTAAGGTTAATAAACGTTACAATGATAATACATTTTAGTTTTTGTTGAACTAAAAATAAACCTTCTTTTATGAAATGATTTTAAGCGACGGATTAAAAAATTTCTTTTAAGTTATAAATCTAGCTTGCATTGTTGTGTTTCATCGTTTGATATTTTTTCTTAAAACATCAAACAGCTAAAAAAAATTTCAGAATTTTTTGGTTTTACTTTCATCATTTTTTTAAACCGGCATTGAAATGACACTTAATGTGAGGTACCGCAAAAAAGTAAGAGAGAAAAATCCAGTTATATTTGCAATTTAATCTCTATTTTTTTTATATCCACAACTGTAGTATGTTCAGTATTTTTGTAGTATGCAATGTATTTCAACGTATGTAAACAGGAAGTAGTGTACGCTGTATACAACAACTACCGGAAGTAGATGAAAAAGAAAGTCGTGTCGAACTGTGTTAGATTAAATAAGTTATGTTGGACAAGGAACTATAGGTTGATATATTAGTATGTTGTATTCCAGGTCAGTGGATAAAAGTATCAGTTATAAAAGAAAAAAGAAAAAAAATATTTGGCTTATTAATTTAGCCTCCCCCCCCCCTTCCTGTTAATATATGGTTAGTTTGACATTCCTTTATAAAAAGCTGTTTTTCGGTTTGCAGCTATTTTCATAGAATTACGTAATTTAAAAACTTATTAAAGTGATTTACTTTCAGAATCAATGAAAATTTAAACCCTAGGGGGATTAAACGATAAACCCTGGGGCTCTGATTTGTTTTTGATTTTTCTGAGAGTAAATGATACATTTTAGATATGTTTAATGAAAAGGTAATTTGGTTTCTAAATTAGCATTATACAATGTGTTAAAAAGAAAAAAATCCATTGAAAAATAAAGAGAATTGCTCGTTCAAACAAAGATTTTAAATTTAAATTAAGTTTCAAATAAATGAAATGAGAAGTTCCCCCTCTTCAGTTCTAGAAATTAAATCAAGTAAATGGTCAGAAAGGGTAGTCTTAGAAATGTCACTTTATTCACCCAGCATAGCATAGATATTGAAAAGACGATTTCTCTCAAGTTCATCACAGGCGAAAACTGGTTTTTATGACGATTAAATTTGATTACCAAGATAATAGATTAATTAAAAATACAGATAGAACATTAGATTCTGACTTTTCAACATTTAGGATTTTGTTGTTCATGACCATGAGGCAGAAACGCAGAAGACCAAATGAGTAACTGACTCATCAGGTTATTGTGAAGGAAAAACCCCTAAATCTTGAAAAGACGATATATATCTGGTGTTCTATCTGTATTTTTATTGATCTATGAACGAGACTAATGCAAGCGAAAAAAGTTTTGGTCAAAATTTGACTTTATGAATTATGGGTATCAAAAGATCCGTCTAGAACACAGACCCGTTTTTGGGCCGTTACTCAACTAATTTTTATGATATCGAAAAACTAACAATAGTTCCGTTATCAGCGGCCATAGGCAGATCTTCAGATATAAATATAAGCATGTTCTAAAGAACTTTTTTTTACAAGTGGTTAAAAAAAAAATATTTTTCTTAAAAGTCAAAATCGTCCTATACTAAAATTGATTTTATAGAAATTTATTTTTGCTCAAAGTTGCTCAAATTTTTTGCTTCATACAAATCCGGTTAAAGCAATTAAGATTTCTTAAATTCTTAAAAAATCTACCTCATTTAATGCTTAGAGAACGCAGTTTCCACGTTCTCACAATTTCTTAGAATATGAGAAGAGAAGCTTGAACTGGGAAATTGTTGGAAAATAACTAAATTACTGATATTCAAAGCATCTCATTTTAGATTATCTCCAAGCTAAGAGCGCCAAAATACGCACACAATACTTGAAAAACCTAATATTTTCTGTATGCAAATCTTTATATTCGCAATATACATTTTTTCAGTGATTCGTTCATACAGATTTTCTTATTAGTCCCAGAAATTGGAATTTAAAGCTTTAACACAATCCAATATGATGCAGGACACACCCTGTAGATAGATAGAAGTGTATTGAGATTTTGGAAAGAATTAATTCAAGAAAAATATTTTTTTACAAAACTAAAAAATATGGCTCAAATTGTGGTAAATGATATTTATTGAATTTCTGACAAAATTTCTTGATTTAAAGGGAGTGACCGGCTATGCAAGGTAGTTAAACTGAGTATGCAGTGTTGTGGACAAATTCTTTAGGATTCATTTGAGACATTGAAAACGTTTCCACGATGTTTGATCGCAATTTCGGTGTTCAAAATCATAAATTTGGTTGGGTATGTTTTCAGAATCGGGTTTTTTAAAATTAGTAAAAATTCTATTGTAAACTAATTAGATGGTAAGGAACATATTTCTCAAAAGAAATTTGTCAATAAATCGAAGTTAGAACTAATTATTTCCTATTTCATCATTATATGGAATTTCTTACTTTCTATGAATTTGTACGCAGATTTCTTCAAATGTCGTCTTTTTGATAAAAATTCCAGAAAATCTGCAGAAAATCTTTGTGATTAAAGAGAGATTTTCCGAACCTGTTCCTAAACAACTAATCAGTTTACTGTAGAATTTTGTTTACATTTTTTGTCATCGTTAAAAGTCGTTTTAAAAAGTTTGATATGTCTTAAATAAATCCTAAAGAATTTGTTCACAACACTGCATACTCAGTTCAACTACCTTACATTGCCGGTCTGTCCCTTTAAAAGAGCATGATTATCTTTTTTTTTAACTAATAGTCTCAAAGGATTTGGTAATTTGTAATTTTTTTAAAAGCTACATATTTTTGAAAATATGGTGAGCTCGGAACGTTTTTGTGCAGTATTGTATTCGTAAATCTTGAACACTTAATCTCAACATTCAATCTGGGCACTTTTAAATTTGTACGATAGAGAATTAAAATGTGATCGTGAAAAACTGATCATAAATATGTGATCTTCTTGTCTGTTGGCTTGTTTGTATCAAATAAAAGCAGAAACAGCTGAACCAATCGGGCCTTGTGCTAAAAACTAATCGTAGATCTACAAATATATGATGGAAGAAACTGTTCAACAATCAACAATTAATCTTAGAGAAACCATCAACCTTATACAATATACAGTAGATAGATAGATAGATACATAATTGTAATGACAGACAGAATGGATAGATAGATAGATAGATTAAAATCTAATTCGAATTTCCAACTTGCATTAAAATTTGATAAAAATAGTTCAACAATAAAGAAATGCATGATATTGATATCATATTTCTTAGTTTTTACAACTTTACAAAAGAAAGGTTTTATATTGATTTTTTAACTCAATTTGTTAAGTTTCAATAAATCCGAAGAACTGAGTAAGATCACGTCCTGTTCATTATCCTGCCCTGCGATAAGTTTAAATTGGAATTCCGGAAGATTAAGATTAGTAAGGAAGTTGAGGTTTTGTAGAAATTACAGTCTCTTTTTAATTTGATTTGAATCTGCTCCATCCTTCTATCTTTCTTTGTACATGTCTCACTTAGATTCGTTTTATATCTGAGAAATTTGTTTCTACATAACTCTCATTTAACCAACTCCTGATTCTCACTCCTAGCTCCCTCTTTTCCTTCCTAGCTCGTTCCTTTTCCTCCTATGCTCACTCCTTTCCCTCCTAGCTCACTCCCTTCTCTCCTAGCTCCCTCTTTTCCTTCCTTGATCCCTCTTTTCCTTCCTAGCTCCCTCTTTTCCTTCCTAGCTCACTCATTTCCCTCCTAGCTCGTTCCTTTCCCTTCTAGCTTACTCCTTTCCTACCTAGCTCTCTCTTTTCCCTCCTAGCTCGTTCTTTTCCCTCCTTGATCCCTCTTTTACTTCCTAGCTCCGTGATTTTCCTCCTAGCTCCATAATTGTCCTCCTAGCTCCCTGTTTTCCCCTATTTGCTATCTTTCCCCTTTTGCTCAATTATAGTCTGCAACCGCTAATCAAGAATGTTTGGAATGTTTGGAATAATTGGCAGAGAATTGAAGTAAAAATTGTATGTTTGTAACTTAGAGTCTTTCGGGTGGGGGGATTGTACCTTTCCTGTAGGAGGGGCAGAGGTGAAAAGGGGGGGGGGTAAGAATTGTGTGAGAATCAAACTATGCGTAAGTTTTCAAAGCAGTGAAATTTGTAAAAATATCTTTTTTTTTAAAAAGCCATAAAAGTGTACGAGCTGAAAAAAATGCACAATAATCACTAATTTGACTAATTTTATCATTCTTTTAAACCCGTAAAAGTTTCTCAAAAGTGGATAAAGTGCTAAAAGATCTGCAACACTTTAATTGATTTTACTATTCTCTTTAAAACCATAAAAGTATCCCAAACGTTGGAAAGACTGCATTAAAACATGTAAATTGCACAAAAATGCACAATAAACAGTAATTTGATTAATTTTATCATTCTTTTAAAACCATAAAAGTTTTCCAAAAGAAAAACATATTTCAAAATTCTTATTAAATCCATAAAAGTGCCTCTAAAGCTGAAAACAAAATTTAAGTTTGGATATTACTTCTGTAGAGGTACTTTTAAGTAGCTTTCCAATCTCCGCAAACCCCACTTTTGCTCAAGGTTATAATGCAAGGAAAGTTAATTGCAGTTGCGTATACTCTGCGTACATATTGAAACCAGTTCTCTCTTGTCGGTGTTTATAAACAAGAATTGATGTATCAGTGTTCTTCTAGTACAGTGAATCCCAGATATATGAATACATAGCAAGAGTTTTGTAAAATGTATAATTGTAAAGAAACTTCTTTTATTTTTAATTCAAGGTAAATGAATAGCCCTGAAATATGAATGCAATTGATATATTATATTAAACTCATTTTTCCGCGGCATTTGATCTTAAATATGTAAGAAGACGTTATAAAAAACTCTTTTTATGTATTCATATATCTAGGATTCACTGTATGCGAGGAGGATAAAAGCATTTAATTTTGATAATTTTGATAATTCACATGAGAGCTTCCTATAACCAGAATATTTCATTGATTTTTTTGCGAAAATAGATTCCGTGTTAGACTGTGACATCCGTCTTGTGTTTACTTTACCGCCCAGAGACAGTACACTACAGTACAAAAAATGCGCACTCCTCTGAAATAACTATCTTTACATCATAATTCTTTGGCTTAGTGTGGTATGACTGATTAACAACAGTACCCTATATATTTGTGTCAGAAAAGGATGATTGCCTAATGCCTACGAATTGATATCAACAAAAACGCTCCTAATTGATTTTCTGAAGTAGAAATGCTGTTATTAAAATAATCTTGTTTTAATATAGTAAAACAAGACATTCATAAATATGTTCCTTCTGGCCGGCCAAACGGCTGGACCAAATGGGCTGACATTTTTTTTGGAAACTCATGTGTAGCCTGGGGGTGACAATCTAAAAAAAATGAATTTTTTTTCAAATATTTAAAAAAAAAATCCACGGGCAACGCTGGGCCGTGCCGGGTCCTTTAGCTAGTTTCTAATAAGTCTAAAACGGTAAAGGAATTGAGTTTTTATCTTCTGATTCCAATATCTTTGTAATTTTATGGTTCAAACCTTTCATATTTCAAACTTAGATTATTTTATCTATAAGTATTAATAGTTTGAAATATCTAAGGTCTACGACTTTGGTTTACAAAGATATAGAGATTAGAAAATCAGAGTTTGTGGCAAAAACTCAACTCCTTTGTGCCATCATTCACATTAGTTCACATACTCGAGTTCTCAACTGCCAGCATTATATATTTAGAGCAATTAAACCACGGACTTCTTTGTCGGTTGATTTTCAGACGTAGGTTTAAAGGATACCGTTGTAAATCTGAGTTACGTTTAAAGGATACCGTTGTAAATCTGAGTTAGGTTTAAAGGATACCGTTGTAAATCTGAGTTATGTTTATAGGATACCGTTGTAAATCTAAGTTAGGTTTAAAGGATACCATTGTAAATCTGAGTTAGGTTTAAAGGATACCGTTGTAAATCTGAGTTAGGTTTAAAGGATACCATTGTAAATCTGAGTTAGGTTTAAAGGATACCGTTGTAAATCTGAGTTAGGTTTAAAGGATACCGTTGTAAATCTAAGTTAGGTTTAAAGGATACCGTTGTAAATCTGAGATGCCTATTGGAAGGTGACTTGAAGGCTCTCTTGTTTAGCTGGAATTGTGGTTTTTTAAGTTTGGTAGTTTTTCAGGAGTTGATTTAGAAATCTACTAAATCAATTAATTTATAAAGATAATGGTAAAGTTCAGGAGTTGAATTAGAAATCTACTCAATCAATTAATTTATAAAGATAATGGTTTAGTTCAGTGGTTGATTTAGAAATCTACTAAATCAATTAATTTATAAAGATATGGTAGATCAGAGGCCGAATTTAAAGAATTTGAGCGGCGGTTTAAATCTAAGCCGCGGTTCAAATTTTTTTGGTTTCACTTACATTTGTATAAAAATTTTCAAGACTTGAGCCAGCGCTCAACTAAAACGGGTTTTTTAGGGGATTTTAGATGCGGCTTAATTTCATTAAATTCGGACACATGATGCATTAATGAAGTGACATGCATTTAAGATTAATATCAGAGTTAATGCATTCTTTTTCTTTTTCTTAGAAATATTTTCTATATCTAACAAATATCTCTGTATAATTTGCTATCCATAAATAGTCCAAACGTGAGCCAAACCTATGAATTGTAATGATTCTAACTGAATTTATTAAATTTTCAGATGTGTGATGTAAAGAAGAGTTCTCTGCAACTTGTCAAGAATTAGTATAATGATCTCAGACTTGGATCAGGACTAGGAGAAGTACAGGGGGGTCTCCATCTCACCCTCCCTCTCCAGCCAGTACGATCCATCCCACCCTCCCTCTCCAGTTCTAGATTCCACACTTAACTAGTCAACATGGTCATAGTGACAAGGGTGAGAACAAACTTTTTACTTTTTATTAGGTCGAAAAAATGATACTCTCTAATGAGATAAATCGGTATTTATTTTATTTTACAAAAACTTTAGAACAGGATTTGAATAAACCCCAATGTTTTTTTATAACTTATTCTTAACAAATTAAAATTTTACGATTTTTACTCATTAATTTTAGCTCAAATTCCAAAAACTTTTTATCTGAGAAGAACGCCACTTTTCATATTCTACTTTTAATTTTTGTAATATTTTTTTCAAAAATCTACATTTTTATCCTGTATGCATCAACAAATGAATGAGTGTACTAGATTAACATTGCACGTTAGATGTTTTAACCCACATAATGACATGGTCTAGCTTTATCCCACCCATCTCAAATATCTAGATGTTTTAACCCACATAATGACATGGTCTAGCTTCATCCCACCCAGCTCAAATATCTAGATGAAAAATTACTTATGATTTTGTTCTTTTAAAAACCCATGGTGAGTTGTTATATGGGGGGAGAAGTTTTGTCTATTTTGTTCTGATGTTAACTAGTTTTTTCGAGTTTTTTATTCACGTTGGTTGGTTTTGGTCTATTTTTGTTTGGTTTTGCCTAATTTTTCTGGTTTTGTCTCGTGTGGTGTGATTTTGTCTATTTAGTTTTTATTGTAACTAGTTTGGTCTGGTTTTGTCTAGATTTATCTTGTTTTGTCTACATCAGTCTTGTTTTTATCTATTTTTATCAAGTTTGGTCTATTTTTTATAATATATTTAATATTTATGTCTAGTTTTATTTTTGTATGTTCTTGTCTTGTTTCGGCTGGTTGTGTATAGTATGGTCTAGTCTTGTCTTCTCTTCTCTGGTTTTGTCTAGTTTTGTCTGTTTTGTATAGTGGTCGGTGTTAATATCTATTTAATAAAGCCGGCTTTTATTTCAGTTTTGATGTCTGTACCGAGCTATTTTCAAATTACAAGTTTACAACTAAACAAAGAGAAGCTGTTAATTGACAGCTTCTCTTTGTTTCCATGTTTATGTGTATCCATGCTGTTTAAAAGCTTAAGGTATAAATCACAAATTGAAATCGAAAGTTATCTTCATTATATTAATATAAACTCGAAGAGAACTGTATCTAGTCTGGTTTGGTTTAATCTAGTTCGGTTGTGTATCACTGTGCGCTATGCATTGTTTTTTAATTTTTTTATTGGTTGGACAAATCTTTTGAATTTAAATCAAACTCAATTTTAAAAAGTATAAACGTTTAAAGGTTAAGCTTTTCAATAGAAAGATAGACATGTTTTTATACCTCCTGGCCTAGCTCAGAACCCTGTCACCTTAGTTTGAATAGAAGGCTGTAGCTATCTTTTTTTAACAGTAGGGGGTGGGGCTAAACTGCTACGCCCTCCAGGTTTTCAATCCTATCATCTCAATTTAGAGGTGAAAATTACACAGAGGCTTTGTATGAGTTTAAGAGTATAAATTTAAACTGAAAAATTACAGGAGATCTTCAAACTTAAATTATAAAGAAAAATATATTTAGTTTCACAAAATATCATGTAAAGTGATAATATATCAAATTCCAGATAAAATACAATGTTTACAATATAGTTTACCAAAAATAGTCTCAGGATTATTTTGACTCAACAAAGCTTATATGAAGATGTTTTTTAGCTAAAGGACTTGAGTCTTTGCCACAAACTAAAATTGTCTAATCCCTCATATCTTTGCAACCAATTGTAGAAAATTTTAGATATTTGAAACTATGAATTATGTTAGATCAAATAATCTAAGTTTGAAATATCAAATGTTTAAACAATCACGTTGCAAATATTATACAATTTGAGATTCTGTGACAAAGACTCGATTCTTTTTAATATAAAGTATTCATTGCAAAATATATAGTATTCATTGCAAAATTTTCCGCGCAATTAATCCTTGAATACCAATCATACGTTATCCAAAATTATGTGGGAGACTTTCCCAAATCTACCCGAGAGAGAGAATATCAGAGATCTGATTTTAATTGCCAGAAAATCTGATCTTACGTGAAAAATATAAATGATTGTATAGTTTGAGTGATAAATGTGATATGTGTGAAACCTATGAAATCTGGTTTAGCCCCAGGAGCAAACTTTCTGAATATTTATTGATGTTGCGTATTGCGTAAATCCTAGAAACAAATATATTACATACAGTGCTAACCAGAAAATAGGGGAATAATGGTCGTTTTCGTTTTTAGGTAATTTTGAGGTAAAGTTTTAACTAATTCATCGTGTGCCCTGAACAGTTCCAGAAATTACCCTAACTACAAAATCGAATTTTCTAATCCCAATTTCTGCACAATCTGAAGATTTAAACCTTTACTTTATTACTTTCATGATAAAGAAATAATTAAGAATACAATTATTTCACTATTTTCTTGTTAGCACTGTAAGTATTTGCAGTAATCTTTGATATATTATTTTAATAATGAAGTTAGATTAAAAAAACGATTATCTTTCATTTTTAAAAATATATTTTAATGAAAAATAATGGATTTGCAAAAGCATTATTATCCATGAGATGATAAGGTGAAGCTTAATTATAAAGATAAGAACAATTCTGTTAACTGCTTATCTTTTATACATTTTTTACAGTTTAAGTCAGAGTTAGTGATCATATACGTTTTTAATCTAGCTTTGTTCTAGTTCTAGTTCTAATTCTAGTTCTAGTTTTAGATCTAGTTCTAGTTTTAGATCTAGTTCTAGTTCTAGTTCTAGTTCTAGGTCTAGTTCTAGTTTAGATCCAGCTCTAGTTCTAGTTCTAGTTCTAGTTCTAGTTCTAGTTCTAGTTCTAGTTCTAGTTCTAGTTCTAGTTCTAGTTCTAGTTCTAGTTCTAGTTCTAGCTCTAGTTCTTGTTCTAGTTCTAATTCATTTTCTAGTTCTAGTTCTAGTTCTAGTTCTAGTTCTAGTTCTAGGTCTAGTTCTAGGTCTAGTTCTAGGTCTAGGTCTTGTTCTTGTTCTAGTTCTTAAGCTTTAACTATATATATATATATATATAGGTTAAATGTTAAAATTCATGTTGTTAGAGTAAAAAAAAAATATATTTCATTATTGCAATTTACTGTATTTAACTACCAAGCATCGTAAAACTGAAATATTAACAGTTTCCCACAAGGAAGTAAAATTTTCAAATAGTTGCGGTTTTTCCATGGCAATGTTTTAAAATGTTTTCATAGAAAATGCATAGATCCTTTTACGCCATTTTTTTCATTTTCAAACAGTGATAAACAATTATCAAAATATGGTCGTCTTCGCGATTTCTTTAGATTAGAAATGCAGCTAAAGGCGTTGATATAAATAAGATATGAATTGTACATTTTTGCAGAGATATATTGCCAATTAACAAAAAGTCCTTGATTAACATGCACTGTTAATTCTAAACAGGCTGGGGGCGGGGACATTTGGCCCCCACCCCCTGTAGTTTTTTTGTCCATGCACTCTCATTTTTGACACTAGAACCGTGAAATTTTGTGACTTTTAATAAAAAGCAATTTAAAGGATTTTTTGTTTTAAAATATTTTTTTTTAATTTATAGGGTAGGGGGGTACAGGGCGGAAAAAAAGTTCGGTCTGTGAAAAAAAATCTAAAATAGCCAATAAAAGGATTTTTGTTTTAAAATATTTTTTTGAATTTATAGGGTAGGGGAGTACAGGGCGGAAAAAAAGTCCGGTCTGTGAAAAAAAAAATCTAAAATAGCCAATAACTTTTTTGTGACTAAAGTTACAGATTTAAAAACTATATTTTTGAAAAGCCCTTGAAAAATGCATGTAGAAACATTAGGCATTTTTTTCCACACTCCCTAGCACCCAAACTTTTAAAGTTATCGGTCTAATTTATTTTTCTTTAAGCATGGCCATGAAAAATTGTGCTATGAACGCACATTTCAACCCTATACCTATTCTCTAAGGCCTTTTTCTAGGTTGATGGGCGCCAAACGCCCCCCCAGGCTATACATATCCCCAGCCTTTATAGGGTTAATAAGTAAAAAATATTTCCACTAAGGGATAGATAAAAATGTCAAGAAAAGCTAAAGGTCGACAAAAAGTCGAGGAGTTTGATGAAAATAAACAAGTTTTCATTTTAGTAAGTAGAATTTTCAACGTGTGAAAATAATCATATTTTGGAAAGTAGAGTTAATTATAACTACTTTACATAAAAAAAAATTGGTTTTTTTACGCTTTCCCGTCAAGTGACGCAAATATCCACGCATATATTTCTTGCGTCATATTTCTCAGGTATCTTGAAGAAACCCTGGTGGGAATTCATTTAGTAGAAGAAGCCAAGAAGATGATTTAAATACACGAATATCACGAAATTAGTTTCCGAATACTTGAACTTGACAAGCTTTTATTTTAGATGATTTTTGAAAGATTTAAAAATAAACATTCAAAAATATATTCTGCTTTAAAGGAACTGTAGACGTTATTCCAATTGATCCCAAATTAAAAAAGAGCCATGTCCGATTCACAAAGGTACCCTTTAAGCCTGTATCTGATCAATATTGTAAAAGATAATGTAATTTTCTAGCTTAAAAAGTGTTCCTCAAAGTTTCTTTATCCAGAAATGCGAAAATCACCACAATTGAAGAAAATTAATATTCAGGAAGAGAAACATGGATAGCTCTTGATTACGCTTGAAATTATGTCTACATTCCCTTTAAGTTTCTGAAAAAGTTTAACTTTATTTTATTCAGGGTGATTATATCTGGATTGAGCCGGTTTCAAGGCGGGAGTTTGATGTTGCAATTGGTGCTAGAGTTGTAACGGCGGAAGGACGGCGGATTCAGGTAAATAAGGACACTGTTCTAGAGTTGAAACGACGGAAGGACGGCGGATTCAGGAAAACAAGGACACTGTTCTAAAGTTGTGGCGGCGTAAGGACGGCGGATTCAGGTAAACAAGGACACTGTTCTAGAGTTTTAACGGCGAAAGGACGGCGGATTCAGGTAAACAAAGACACTGTTCTAGATTTGTAACGACGGATTCATGCAAACAATGACAGTGTGTTAGAGTTAAAACGGCGGAAGTAGTACGTAAACTAAACTATAGGACTCGGGACTAGAGTTATAACGGCGGAGAGAAGGAGGATTCAGCTAAACAGGTACAGGTTGGATGAAATGGCGGAGAAACGGCGGATTAAGGTAAACAAGGACACGGAGCAAAAATTAAAACGGCGGATATAAGGCGGAGTCCTATAAACACTGATTTCTTGGTGAAATTGACCAGATTTACTGGTATACGGTGTCAGCATTTTTACAGAATATTATTTTAGGAATTCCTTTAAAACTCATTTTTCTTGTTTAGGTTGTTGACGACGACGGAGAAGAACAATGGTTGACTCCGGAGAGAAGAATCAAGGCCATGCACCCGACCTCCGTCCAGGGGGTTGAGGACATGATCAGCCTCGGAGATCTTCACGAGGCTGGCATCCTCAGAAACCTTCTCATCAGATACAACGATAATCTCATCTATGTAAGCCTAGTTTTATTTTGAAAAGAAATCATTGTGGTCTTCTTTCTTTCTTTTGAAAAATTTGTAACTTTTAACTGATTTATTTCTAAAATTGTACCGTGATAATTTCTAGAAAAATATCAGTTTCAGCAATTGAAATTCACAAAATCCTTGGCGACATTTCTTAATCAAAAGAAATATCAGAGACGACAATCATGCCCCAGTCAGTTAACAAAAAAGGGGTCCATATGAAGATATACAAACATTAATTTTCCGGTCAGGTTATGCTTAAATCGGGTGTGTCCCAATAGAATCGGATTGGAAACTGCATAATAAAGAATGAATTTTTTTTTACATATAATTATAATAATAACAAAAACATTATTTTCAACCTTCCTCTTTTTGGGATCAAATTGAAATGATAACATTTTATTGTAAACCCCCCCCCCCTGGCCTGCCTCCTCCCCTGATTTTATATCGGATTGCAAATTGCAATGCAATAAAATATAAGTTAGTTTCTGTCTACATTTAACTGATGTTGCCAGTAATTGAATATAATTTTTTTTCTTTAGTTTTGCTATATTTCAGTTTAGTTATCAGAAATTTGTTAAATTGATATTTTATATTTGACATTTAAGTATTTTCAAGGTAAGGAGTGAATATATAAAAGATTAAGATTTAAGTCTACAATATGTGTTAAGTAAAACAACGATTTTCAATGTAACGTGTGTAAGTTAATAATGTAACCTGTCTAATTAAAAGATTTATGTTGACAGTCCCTTTAAATATTTTGCCAATTTATGTTGACAGTCCCATTAAATATGCTGCCAATTTATGTTCACAGTCTCTTTAAATATTTTGCCAATTTATGTTGACAGTCCCTTAAATCTAAATTGTTTAGACTCTGACCGGGAGTATTCTTGTAGCTGTTAACCCCTACCAGATTCTACCCATCTATACCAGTGAGCAGATCAAGCTTTACAGGTTCATCTTTCTTACAGGGACCAGTCCTAGGGTCAGAACTTTTATATGCGTTTGCGCTGATCTCCAACACCTGAATCATAAAGCAGGAACTTTTAATATGAGGAGATTATGTTCTTAATCCGTGAGAAAAAAACATTGGCCCCGAAAGAAGATTCATCTTAATCCGTTGGACATACGGATTAGTGTAACAATTCAAAAGTTCTGACCTCGGGTTTTTTAAAGGTGTGATTAGGACAGCCTAGTTTGTACTTTTACTAAGGAGATCTTTATAAACAGAGGCCGAATTTAAAGAATTTAAACCGCCTGACTGAACCGCTATAAACCGGTTCCAATTGAGCGACGGCACAAATCTCAGAACACTGAATACAATTTTAAGTGGAAAAATCAATCTTTGAGCCGCGTCTCAAATTTGAGACTCGGCTTAAATTCTTTGAATTCGGCCTCTATTCTCATCTAGTTAGGTAAGAGGACGTACCGTTAAAGTGCTTGTTTTGTTTCTTAATCCTTGAGTCCTGTTTAGATTTATTAAATCCACCTTTTTTTTTTCACTGATTGTTAACATTAAATTTCCAAACCATTTAAGTGTAAAAAAAACATGCTAGTATTTTTTTCAAAAATGGTCTGAAGAAAGTGATTAATCCATATTAAACGGGCATCGAATTTTCATTCCCTTGCTTAACTTAATTTGTTCAAAATATCTGTATTCTATTCAGCTTTATCTGTCGCTGAAATAAAATGAATATGAATATCTGCGACGTACCCGGCGTTGCCCAGTTAGTTGCTCCCATCGTTTACCCATGCTTGGTTGTAAAATACGATTTTAGTTATTTTTTCATATTAAAGTGGACCCACTCAACTTAGAATCTTTAAACCAAGCTAAGAATATTCCCTTGCAGTTCTCCCGAGTTTCCCAATCGAAATTTAAGGCAAATCGGTCAAGGGGTTCGGAGTTATGATCGGACATACTTACAAACGAACAAACAGTGATTACAACTTAATATAAATAGACAATCAGCGTACTATAAGTTAACCATGTGAATATACTACAGAAAAGATCACGCTAGGTTGTGTGTAAATATTTTAAACTGATGAAACTACAGTAATCAAAACAATAACAAAGATTGTAAATAAAGGTCGAAAATTTCCTGGGGGGCAGGATGGAATATCGGGCTTATTTGCAAACTGGTGTTTACTCACCTGGAACCAGTCCCAACTCCAAACACACACCCCTCCCCCCATTAGCTAACCACTTTGGTAAAATTTGTCTGTTATGGATATATATTTTAAGGGAGAAGAAAATTGGAGAACTTCCACCGCACATATTTGCTATTGGAGACAACTGCTACAGTTTAATGAAACGGACTAGGTAAATATTAACTATTGGAGACAACTGCTACAGTTTAATAAAACGGACTAGGTAAATATTTGCTATTGTATACAATTGCTAAAGTTTAATGAAACGGACTAGGTAAATATTTGCTATTGTATACAATTGCTAAAGTTTAATTAAACAGACTAGGTAATTTTTGTTACTGGAGATAACTGATACAGTTTAATAAAACGGAATTGGTAACTTTTTGCTTTTGGAGACAATTGCCACAGTTTAATGAAACGGGCTAACTAACTTTTTGCTATTTGAGACAACTGCTAAAGCTTAATGGAACGGACTAGGTACATTTTGCTATTTGAGACAACTGGTTAAGTTTCATGAATAGGACAACTGCTACAATTTAATGAACAGGCTCTAGGTAACTATTTGCTGTTGCAGACAATTACTGAAGTTTAATAAAACAGACTGACTAGCTAAAGTTTAATGAAATGGACTAGGGTACTATTTGTTTTTGGAGACAACTTCTACAGTTCAATGAAACGGACTAGGTAAATATTTGCTATTGTATACAATTGCTAAAGTCTAATAAAACGGACTAGGTAACTATTTGTTAATGGAGACAACTTATACAGTTTAATGAAACGGGTTACGGACTTGGTTTATTTTTGCCGTATAATCTCTGTATTTCTCCAACCCGTGATTTCAAACCTTGGATATTTCCATCTTGGGCAACTACGATGTGTGATAAATAAGTTTCGCTAAAATTGAATTAGGGGTACTTCTAAAAGTCTCAGCTTTAAATTGTTTTTTAAGTTCACTATATTTTTTTTACCGGATACATTTTTGGCCAGGTTGGCGTCAAGCAGATTGTTGTTGTGATGTAAGGGGTGTTCTTCTGAAGGTGGATTTGCTTCGTTGTTACAGCATAGGAATATCTGGAATAGTGACCAGAGAAAAGATGACACTTTGGTTACTCAAAATTGTTTTATTAGACGATGCAAAAACCAAACAGAACCCATTAAACATGATCCAGAACGTATTTTTATGAACTTTTATGTTAGTTTAATGGGGTTAAGAAGGGAAAAATGAATATTTGAAGGGAGGGCGGGAAAAGACCATCAAGACCCCAAAGATGGTAAAAAAAATATTGAAAATTGTTAAAATCATATTAGCAAGAGTTCTAGACAGTTTGATTATTTGCCTTTACATTGTAAACAAAGTTGTAAAGCAAGATTTGAAAATGACGAAAATCTGGGGAAAGTTTGTCCAGAAGTCTCTGACAGGATCAAATGGATGACATTGATTATGTATTTCGAATGTAAATCAAAACCAGAAAATCCTCAAAAGTCCTTGAGACATTAAATATTTTATTTACGTTTGCTTCTTTTTAAAATGTCTAAAACAGAATTTGATGAATCAAGTTTGGAACCATTTTGAAAATCTTTTTTTCTGTGACGAACGAAGCTGATATACTTTGGGAGAACGCTCCTTACATAATCTGGTATATCTATAGTAAACTTTCAAAAAAAATTCAGGGCTAAGACTTCTAAAAGGCCCCCTAATTTTTTTTAGCGAAACTTATTGATCACACCTCGTAAATTTAAGGTCGACGACAAGAGGTTATAAAGATATAAAGATTAGAACATTAGAGTTTTAGGCATTTGTTTGGTTTCTTTTATCTTACAATTACGTTTGAAATTATATCTGGATGAACGAATATGTCTTATTTAGGCAGGATCAATGTATTGTAATAAGCGGAGAATCTGGTGCGGGTAAAACAGAATCCACTAAGCTTATTCTACAATATCTAGCGGCTATTAGCGGCAAACATAGCTGGATAGAACAGCAGATTCTAGAAGCAAATCCAATCCTAGAAGGTAAATCTTTTTTCAAAATATTTTTTATTTTAACAATCCCTTTTCATGTTTTTAGCCGAATTTTAAGTTGATTTAGTAGACATACTGTGAAATGTAAATAATAGAATTTAGAAAAGAGTATCTTAGAAACGTTATCTCCCAAGTATTAATTATATAGGCGTGACAAGAAAAATTATTTCAACTCCGTTCATCCTTGAAAATCTGCAATCTATTCTCTTCTCTAATCCGCCAAATGGTTTCTTTTCAGTTTTACTTCACTTTCATTCAGAAACTAAGTAATTTATAGTCGGGTTGAATTTATTGAACATGTGCAGAATTTTACTAAAGTCTGTTACATAAAATCACATCAATTTTTCAATGATAAATTTTGATGACAGCGGCCGAGAAGCACATTTTGTTGTTTTTGTTCATCATTTTCTAACTAAATAAAAAAATCTGTCCATGTGCGTTTTACATCAAAATAAAATTCGTAATTATTAAAAATTAACAGAAAAGTGTAATAATCCTGAAATACTTTTACATTTAAACCTTTGCCAAAACAAGAAATTAAAAAATACATTAAATGGGTTAATGTGGGTTAGAAAGTGAAAGCTTACTGAATTTTAAGCCTGACTATTTAATAAACCACGCGCGGCGTGACTTAGCCTTTAAGAATTATATATTTATATAATAACCTTTATATTTTATATTTATATTTATATTTTATATTTATATTTATATTTTATATTTTATATTTATCTAATAACCTTTATAACGACAAAAGCTAATAGTTTTATCGAAATTACACTGAGATTAATTTGAAAAAAAAAATATTTTATGTCAGAAAAAGACTTACACCAGAAAGATAAAAATGTCTAGAACCAAATTTGTTTGATAAAATAAAACCATATATATCTCGTATTTCAGCGTTTGGGAATGCTAAGACTGTGAGGAATGATAACTCCTCGAGGTTTGGAAAATATATAGATATATATTTCAACAAGCAGGGTACTATAGAGGGAGCTAAGGTGGATCAGTATCTTTTAGAGAAATCTAGGATTGTTCATCAAAATCCTCAGGTAATGATAACATCAATTATAATAATACTGACATAAAACGTATTGATCTCCATCTAATTCCATTCGGATATTCCATGGTGTAATCTTACCCTACAGGCAGGGACGGATACAGGGGGGGGGGCGGCAGGACCTTTTCACCCCCGGCGGATTAAGGGGGGGGGCGTAGATCCCCTCTGAGATTTCAGAATAGCTTCTCAATAGCACTTTTAAGGGAAACCTAGCGCAAAACAGATAAAAAAAACGGCGGGAGTAGCTATGAGTACTCTGGGCAACGCTGGGTTCACAAGCTAGTACAATATATTTTTATTGTATAAAATGTATTTTAGATTAGCATTCAGTATTTAACGTCTTAACACCCTTTGATAAGTACTGCTTTAATGCTTTACTTCATAAATTTTTTTTATATTTTCATCCTAATATAAACCCAGGATGAAAGCCGTTCCTAAAACTGTTTTTCCTTAAATTGGAATTCTGCTAAGTTAGTGACGATCTTACTCTGATGTAGATGTTAACATGAATGAACCAATTTTAACTGATTAAATTTTACATCTTTTATATTTTAATGGGATAACGAGCCAATTCTCATGTTTAAAGGGACAATACGCGTTATTTCAAGTAACCCTCCATGCAATGGAGAGGTCAATGCCTGATTCACAACGGTACATTTGAAATCTTTAGCTGTAATAGAGACAGGCCCGTAGCCAGGATATTTCCAGGCTACGAAATATTTTTTTTAAACAATGCTTGGTTTATTTTTGCAGTGGTTTATGGTTGTTTTAATTACATTGAAAACACTGAAGGCAGTATTGGTTAAAGCTTTTTTTATTGAAACTTTTTTAGTTAAGGGCAAAAGTGAGATTTTAAATTTTTTTTTTTTATATACATATACGATGTGATTTTACTTAAATGGAATACATGCGTAATATCAAGTGACCCTCCATTTATGGAGTGGCATGTCCGATGTACCTTTGAAACCTTCATTTCTCCATCGTTTCTGAAACAAGAAATGCGCGAGTCACTTTTGTAGAGAAACCACAAATAAAAATATTAAGTTTTCAAAATGGGAAAAATGGTTTTTTAATGCAATACTTGATCAGACAAAGCTTTGAAGGGTATTTTTGTGAATCAGAATATATTTTATTTCTTTTCTTGATCTTTTAGTTTGGGTGAGTTCTATGCAATGCAATGTAGAATGTAGATTGCCTGAGGAAGTAATATTAAAAGAAACCCCCCATGAGTCCCCCCTCAGAGGGGGGTCACGCGTAGGGAGGCGGTGCGGGGGGCTTGGCCCCCCTCGTACGCTCCTGATGATGAGATAGATAGATAAATGTTACTACCGTTGCAATTTCTATTGGTTCAGAAAAGACTGAATCCTGATTGATTGTATTAGGCACTACTGGAAATTTGAAATAATGGTGGAAAATGAGGAATGAAAAAAATGAAAATTGTTATAACAAAATATTGTCTGTTTCAGGAGAGAAACTACCATATATTCTACTGTATGCTCTCCGGGTTATCCAAGGAGCACAAAGATCGTCTTCATCTCAAGGATGCGTCCAACTATAAATATCTGACAGGGGTAGGTTCAACCAGCAAATTCAGGGTTACCCAAAAATCATGAGACATAGTGAGCTAAAACTCTTTCAATATAACAATTTGAAGGTTAGAATGATGTTTTGCTTTATCTTAATTTAGCCTGTAAAGTAAAAATGTAAAGAAAGAAAATTAATATTAGCATGAAACAGACTCGAGTGAATTTTCTTTAGTCGTCTAATAAATCTTATCCTTTGTTGCATATATAGAACTCATAGAACAAACATTGGTGTAGATTGTTTGTGTACTGTATTATATCTAAGAAAGAACCATATGTTTGAGTACAAATATATTGTAGATATTCCAGTTTTTGAAAGAAATCGTAATAAAATCCCATATATTTTTTACACCATGCATAAATAAAAAAGTGAAAAGTTAATCAGCTGTTTGTTAAAGAAACCGTTGAAGTTTTTTAAAAAGGCATTTTTTGAATTCAACAAATTAGCAACGCAAAAAGTTTTTCTGTCAACATGAAATATTCAATTTGTTAACCTTTTTTATAATCTATAATTGCATATAGAGACCAAGAAAACGCAATATTTACTGTTAACGATCTTCTAATATATTTGACAATTTAGAGTTTAAAGTGATGATCAAACATCTAAAAAACTGTGTCTTGGAGAAGATGACACAACGGGGCATTCTACAGTTTTTCTTCTTTTCTAATATTCCCATTATTTGCAGGGCGGAAGCACCGTATGTGAGGGTAGAGACGATGCGGCGGAGTTTGCTGATATTCGCTCCGCCATGAAAGTTCTTATGATGACAGATCAGGAGATATGGGATATTCTGAAGGTAATATCATATATATTTGATATGATATATATGTATTTAAATAAGTAAATCTGATTAAATATTTCAACAATTAAAATTACAAGTTGGCATATCTTAACAGTTTTACTTTGCCAATAACTCCCTGACAACTAAAAGATGAGAAGGAAAAGATGATAAAAGAGTAGATAGAACAAATTAGAGAGGCAATTCGTGCAATATTGGGGGTGGGGGGGGGGGGTTTTAGAGTTATAGGTAACCAAGTAACCATAGATATCTAGACAGCTATGGCAATTTGTTATCAATTTTGAAAACCGGGTCAAATTTTGAACTATTTTAACCCATTGTGTATAAACGTCATATTACCGAACTAGCTGGAGTACCCGGCGTTGTCCGTGAAATTAAAAAATATAATTTTTTTTTTTAAATGGAATTTAAAAATAATTGAACTTTATGTTTGCAGATCCTGGCTGCTCTCCTCCACATGGGAAACATCAAGTACAAGGGGAAGGTTGTGGATAATCTAGATGCTACAGATATTCCTGACCACAGTAATGTGGAACGGGTTGCTGCTATACTAGGAGTCCACAAAGCATCCCTGGTTGATGCGCTTACATCAAAAACCATATTTGCTCAGGGATCTGAATTCATGAAACAAAATTTGATCAGATTTAGAAATTTTAATTTAAAATAATTTTTAAAATTTATTTAAAAGATCAAATTTTAATTGATTCTATTAACAAGTCGGGTTATTTAAGAAATACTATATAGTCAACAAGTTTGTTTTGAACTAAATTCATTGTCATCAGAGCTTTGTTTAATTTTAGAAAAGTAAAAAAAACATTCATTTAGAAAAACAACGTCATTGAGTTTTTATTCTTGATAAACACTTTTAATAATCTTGATATAAACTCTTGAATTTGAATATCCGGGTCCAGGGTGAGTCCGTGGTGTCGACCCTGAACACAAACCAGTCCAAGGACATCAGGGACGCCTTCGCCAAGGGTATCTACGGCAGGTTGTTCGTCTACATCGTAAAGAAGATCAACAACGCCATCTACAAGCCTGATGTCAGAAATGCGGATAAATGCGCAATCGGTGTTCTTGACATCTTTGGCTTCGAGAACTTCGAGACTAATAGTTTTGAACAGTTTTGCATCAATTTTGCAAACGAAAATTTGCAACAATTTTTTGTTCAGCACATTTTTAAGGTAAATGATTGCATTTCGAATTTTGATTTACATTTAATTTAGTTTTATCATGAATACAAATGCATAAATAATGAATTCTCCATTCATTTCAATTATATTAGTTTCTCACTTTAGACATCTTTGTATTCTTGGGATTGAATTTAAATTTTATTTTATAGAAGAAATATCAGACAAAGTAATTCCTAAATGTGTTTTTAATATATCAGGATGAGAAGAGAAGATTTATGAAATATTTAAAATCTACATTGTTATTTTAGATGGAACAAGAGGAGTATAACAATGAGGCGATTAATTGGCAGCATATAGAGTTCGTAGACAACCAGGAAAACAGAGTCAATACTAAACTTCAAATAAAAGAAAATATTAATTGTTAAGAATTGTTTATGGCGTTTGCGCTGTCTTGTCTAGTACGTAGAAGTGGCTTTTTCTTATCACTTAACCTTTGATTAGTTTCTTTTCATTTCATTTTCAGTTAAATTTATAATTACAAAAAATTTCACAAAGGAATAAGTCACAAAGTCAAATATTTCATTCCCAATATCTTTGCAACCTGATGATGTACACCTTTGATATTTCAAACCTAGATAATTTGATCACACAGAATTCTATTGTTCGAAATACCTAGATCCACGACATGGGTTGCAAAGATATAGGGATTAGAATATTTGACTTTGTGGTAAAGACTCGAATCCTTTTCCGCGTTTACTGGCGGAGCTATACAAATTTTAAGAAATCAACTTATTATTGGTAATATTTTATAAGTATGGCCTTGATGTATTGTTAAATTTCATATCGACCAAATCAGTTTTAGACGTTTATTTTGAGCAAACAAACCAACAGACAGACAAGTCAAATCTTATACTACAATATTTTACAATATAATTTAGAAAACTTCTTTATAATCATATCAACTCTTTATTATTCCAGTATTATGCTTTAAAAAAGTTTTAAAAAATCCTAGCATATTGGATAAAAAACTTAGTTGTGTGGAGAGAATTATTTTTTGTTTTTCAATTTACCAAACATCAAAAATGTATCAATAATATGGTTCAAAAACATTTCTGAATAATTGTTATCAAGAAATCTTTATCAATGTATATTTAATTTATTTATTAAGATGAATAGCTAAGAACAAGAAAAAAAAGTTCTTTTAAGAGTGGCCTGTAATGTTTGTTATCATATAGGACAATATCTTTCTTTTGCAAAAGTTTAAATTAAAATTTTACTCTCAAAACAACTAAAATTAAGAAAAATAACCCGGTTAATTTGATACAAGTTCAAAGTCACCGTATACCTCATGTATTAGTCATAACGATTAAATGTGATTTTTAATATGCGAAAAATACTACTAAGAATCAATGAAACTTGAAAGAAATCCGGTTCTGCAGAAAAATGTTACTTATTTTCTTCGGAACCAATAAATAACCTTTAATCTGCAGGGAATTGCGAAAACAAATATTTTATTTTCTCACCTTTTGACCAGCATTACTGACCCACGATTCCCCCTACAGAGGACGTTACGTTATTACTTAACATCGCTTGGTGAAGTAAGTGAGTAAAATAACCACTCGCTCTGCAAAGTGTTCGTGAAAATATTTGCGCAATTTCATCTCTAAAGAGGGTAAATTGTGTTCAACTACTTTTTCGGGAAATTAAAAATCGGGTTCCCTCGACCAAAACATCCATCGCTGCGCCCTGTGTCCGAATGTAATGAATTTGTTTCGCGTCTTAAATCCGCCATAAACCGGTTTCAATTGTGCGCCGGCTGAAATCTTGAAACAATGAATACGATTTTAAGAGGAACCAACCATATTTTTTTGCCACGGCGGCTTAAATTTAAGCCGTGGCTCAAATTCTATAAATTCGGCCTCTGGATGTTTTGCACACTGTAATTTAACGGTATTAATGTAAGAGGTTTTTGCTTTTTGCTAATACTTCCCAAAAACTAAAGCTAAAAACAAGTGCTTTACAGTTTTAAATATACAATTTTACAGCTACATAAAATATAAGTAAGTTAGAGCGGTAAGATCAAAGCCCAAGGTGTTGCGACACTTCAAAGTCTACCCTGTCTTGAAAATTAATTCAACTTTTCATTGCCGTAAAAATTGATCTTGAAAGTAAAATTCTCTTAACTTTCCTGTAAAGTAGTTGGACATATGATATTTTCAACTGAATATGGTCAATTTAATATCAAAACCATGAGCAGCTGGGGGTGGGAGGTGTGAAATGTGAAAACTCTTTTTGAATTTATTCTTAAACTAAAAATTAAAGGGCTTATAGGGAGGGGGATGTCCCCCCTCCCCCTCCCCCATAAGCCGCCTCTAAATTACAACTATCTGAATCCCTTGATATTGACCCTGATGTTGGTGCAGGAGGCCCTTGACCTGATAGCAGTTCGTCCTCTTAACATCATGGCACTAGTGGACGAGGAGTCAAAGTTTCCAAAGGTAAAATATTTGTTTTCATCATTTTGTCCCTCTCTCAACCCTATAATTATGATACAAATAATATACATAATTGCATAAAAACAGAAACAAATGTAACGACAGAAAAATTATCTTTCAAAAGACATGCATCACCAAATTTTTGAGGATTCTTTCTCATCTATCCCTTTGTTTCTTTCAATTCAATTTTGATTATTATTGTGTATGTTTATATTTTAATCAGTTGGATCTACATCAGCGTCAAAAATCTGAATTTTTCAATACATCAAGGGGGTAAAATCTAATTTTTGTAATTATTAAAAGGGGAGGACTAAACAATGTTTTTGGAAAGTTATGAAAGATTCCTATAAACCATGATAAAGTTTTTTTATTATAGTTTATCACAATCTGATACTTCAATAATATCATTATTAGTTCATTATCACTTATCCTTGTTATTGTAGGGAAGTGACCAGACAATGTTAAACAAGCTGCACCAGAGACACGGGACCAACAGGAACTATTTAAAACCTAAATCTGATATAAACACTTCCTTTGGTTTAAACCATTTTGCTGGAGTTGTCTTCTACGACACTAGAGCTTTCTTGGAGAAGAATAGAGATACTTTCAGGTTTACAAAAAATTATTAAATTAGTAAGAAGAAAGGATTCAGTCTGAGCTACAAACTTAAATATTCCAATCCCTTTATATTGCAACCTGATTGTGTTAACCATTAATATGTCAAACTCAGATTGTTTGATCTAACATAATTAGCATTTTAAAATATCTAAGGTCTACGACATTGAGATTAGGAAATTATAATTCAATTCAAGAATCAATTCCTTTATACTTTATTACCTTTATAAAAAGAAAACTTTTTTATTGCTAAAGACTTTTTATATTTGCTTATCTATCTATCTATCTATTTAGTCCAAATCTATGATCTACTGTAGCTGATGCATATAAATAATATACAGCTGATGCATGTATCTAATCTATCTATCTATCTATCTATCTATCTATCTAGTGCTGATCTACTGCAGCTGATGCATGTATCTAATCTATCTATCTATCTAGTGATGATCTACTGGAGCTGATGCATGTATCTAATCTATCTATCTATCTATCTAGTGCTGATCTACAACACCTGATGCATGTATCTAATCTATCTATCTATCTATCTAGTGCTGATTTACTGCAGCTGATGCATGTATCTAATCTATCTATCTATCTATCTAGTGCTGATTTACTGCAGCTGATGCATGTATCTAATCTATGTATCTATCTATCTAGTGCTGATCACTGCAGCTGATGCATGTATCTAATCTATCTATCTATCTAGTGCTGATCACTGCAGCTGATGCATGTATCTAATCTATTTATCTATCTAGTGCTGATCTACTGCAGCTGATAAATGTATCTAATCTATCTATCTATCTAGTGCTGATCTACTGCAGCTGATGCATGTATCTAAGAATAAGTTCCTTGAATCCCTGTTTGCTGAGGATATAAATATGGGATCAGAAACCAGGAAATTAGTAACTTTATAAAATAATTTTTTATATTTTGAACTTTTAGAATAAACTTGTTTTTAACTTTTTCTATCAGCAGACGTAAGGTTTTTAAAATGAATAAAAGAAAATTTTAAGCGCAAAATTCTTCACTATTTTAGTAAAATTTCTAAAAATATTTACTAATTATGAAACAGAAAACGTGCTCCAACCTTGTCAAGTCAGTTTAAGAAGTCCTTGGAGTCTCTGATGCAAACCCTGGGACTATGCAATCCCTTCTTTGTTCGTTGTATAAAACCTAATGAATACAAGAAACCAATGGTAAGAGCTTAAACGTCTGTTTACTCAGAGCCCGCGATTTTAAAAACTCGGGAAAATACTGTTCGGGTCTGAGTTGTCGTTGGGCCTTATTTACGACTTGAGCTTTCGGATTCAAGCTGGATTTTTTTTCCTACTGAGTTGAGTTCAAAAAACCGGTTTGATAATCTATTTAGCGGATTTTCATGGAAGGAATTGGCGCATTCCGGGTTTTTTTATGAGAACAAGAATGAACCAAGGTCGGTCTTATTTTCATTGGGCCTAACTCCTTAAGTCGAGCCGAAGATCTTGCAGCTGTCAATCACGTGACACAAGCTGTCGTAAGAGTTAAATCGAAGATTGGGTCTTAAAGTTGGGTTAAAGGAATTACGGCTAGAGCCGAAGTTTTTAAATCACAAGCTCAGGACATTTAGAAGTAAACCAAAAATACAAAGGAATAAAGTATTGCCACCAACTAAAATTGTCTACCCCTATATTTTTGCAACTATTGTGGAAACCATGTGATATTTTAAACTTAGATTATTTGATCTAACAATTTCATAGCTTCAACTATCTAAGGTCTACGACATTGCATGTTGCAAAGATATAGGGATTAGGAAATCCGATTTTGTGGCAAAGATTTTATAAACACAAATCTCCTTGAGTGTAGAGAAAAGCATGTTAAGAATTTCAAAACTACTTCGAAATCATCTTAAATCAAAAACTTTTGAGCTTAAAGTCTGTTAATGATATTAAAGATGTTTATCCCAAGATTATTTCTCTTTTTCTCACTTTCAACTAAAACCTTACACTGTTCCTTTGTACCTAGTACCTTTAATACTCAGACTAATTAAACCGTTCAATCCTTGTCGTTGTCCCAGCAAGCTGTCACTCACTTTCAATCCCAATTGGAAAAATTGATCATGGATTTTTTCCCTTACATTTTTTATGGTGGATGCTGATGAAATGAAATGTTTAAGCCAACCCAGTAATATTAAAGATTGTCGAATTAAAAACGAAAAAGAGATAATATTTAAATAAAATAAAGAAACCGAACACATCTAGCTCTAGTTAGTCCAAAGAAATAAAAAAAAAAGTATTGTTTAACAAAACTCCCGAGTTTCCTTTTTTGAATATATACATTATACATAGATATACATAGAAAGATTTACATTAAGAAATAAAAAAATAAAATAATAGTATATCTAACAATGAAAATAGTATTCTTACAAAAAAAATGTTGACATACCGAAAACATTATATCCTTGACAGTCCTTGTTCTAAGTTTTGGGCTGTGGGTGGGATAACAGTACAAAGAGTGTATTGTATACTGTGTACTATTCGTAGATGTTTGATCGAGAGCTGTGCTGTAGACAACTCAGATATTCAGGGATGATGGAAACCATTAGGATTAGGAGAGCAGGATATCCAATCAGGTTTCATTATTATTATTATTATTATTATTATTATTATTTTTACTATTATTATTACTTTCATTATCATTATCACTATCGTTATTATTAATATTATTATAATAATTATTATTATTATCATTAAGAAAATCCAAAACTAAATTCTTTACTTGTTCTATAAAACTTGTTTGTTTAGACACACGTTCCGTGAGTTTGTGGAGAGGTACAGGAACCTGATAAACGGTTGCCCGCCAGCACACAAGGTTGACTGTCAGGCTGCAACTGCTCGGATATGTCAGGCTGTTCTAGGGAAAGCAGATTACCAGCTCGGCAGAACTAAGGTTATCTTCTTCGAGAATTCTGGAAAGATGATTTTTTTTCTGGATACATATTCTAAATTATTAGTATCTGTACCTGTGTTCACGTGCATATGTGTAAAATAACTTGCATCTGTTTGTAATACACATGAATCTTTATCTTTGTGTAAATGATCCTATATCAATGTGCACATGAACTTATATCTATGTGTACATGAACCTATATTAGTGTATACCTATATCTATGTGTACAAGAACCTATATTTATATGTACATGAAGCTATATCTATGTGTACATGAACCTATATTTATGTGTACAAGAACCTATATTTATGTGTACAAGAAGCTCTATGTTTACATGAACCTATATCTATGTGTACATAAAGGTGTTCCTGAAGGATGCCCACGACCTGTACCTGGAGCAGGAAAGGGACCGAGTACTAACCAGGAAGATCCTGGTTCTACAGCGTTGTATCAGGGGTTGGTATCACAGGTACAACCAAGGTTCTTTAATAAGGTTGGTTACTCTCAATAGATAGAATCCACATATGACGACACTGATTATAGAGGCGAGTGTGACGTCATATGCGGTCGTGTATTCTCTCTATCTATGCTAAGGAGACGACAATTTTCCGTAGATTAGAGCGCATCATAGAGTAACCAACCTTGGAAACAACACATTAATCTCAGTAGAACTTGGGAGAAGGTTTATTTGGTGTACTGTCCAGATTTTCGTCTGAAGTCTGTAATTAATGTGTATGCTATAGAAAACTTGCTTTAGCAGCCTTAAAGTTGGTCCGGTACTTTCAATAACTGAGAAATATGTTATATGTCAAGTTTTGCGACAATCGGCGGACACATTTGCATATTTTTAAGGGAAAAGATGTGTTTTGATATCTTTTTTTTAATTCCAAACAAGTTCATTTATCCTAACCTTGGATGGTAGGTGAAACAATAGGAGTTACACATAGTTTTTTATTGGTTTGTCAAATTTTAAACTTTTTTCGTTCAGATTATTTCTATGTCGACAGAAAACATACAACTGGTTACCCAGAAAGGAAAAGACGACCTGAAACTCTTTAAATGTAATAATTCCATTGTTAAATTAGGTCTGCTGCCTAAAAGATAGTCTTTTCAAGGCCTTTTAGATTATTTGATTAAAAAAAAAAATTTTTTAGTGTTGCAGTGAATCATAAATATGAGGAAACAGCCAGTTAAAATTCCGTACAGTCGTCTGTGAAGTCCCATACTTTGTGGGTATATCTCCAAAAGTCTTCAAAAATATTTTAGTGCACAAAGGCTTTGGTTTGATTTGAGTTTTGAAATGTAATTACAGGGTGTCTTACGAAATATGTCAGTTGGTAAATATTTTTGAATGTCGTCTTCCATACACTGTATTCATTAAAGGCTGTTTCCAGTTTATTTCGTTTAAAAATCTTTTGCTTAAATATATTTTACTTTGAAATTAATTTTACTATAATGTGAATCCTATATAATATTTTTATTATTGTCTTTGGTATTAAACAACATAACAACTAATGGAAGAAGATTTTCTAAACTATTTACCAACTGTCATGTTTCGTCGAACAACCTGTAGCTTAATATATTAAATATTAGAATAACTTTAGTTGATTTTTTTTCCATGAAATAATAAGAAAAAATAAGTCATTTTTATTTTATTTTTATAAATCTTAAAACTGAAATTTAGACGACGGTTCTTGAAGATGCGAGCCTCAGCTATCCTCATTCAGAAGAACTTTAGAGCGTACAACGGGCGTAAGAAGTACATGCAGATGCGTACAGGGTACATGAGAATGCAGGCTCTTATCCGTAGCAGGATCCTTAGTCACAAGTTTAAACATCTGAGAGGACATATTGTCCAACTCCAGGCTAGATGTAGAGGATATCTTGTTAGAAGGTAAATTATATGAACAGTTATAACCAAAAATAGAAAGACGACTTTTAGAATCAAGTTATGACACAAAAAAAGTCCAATGCGAATAAGCCACAGCAATTGTGTTGTGTAAACAAACTTACTTCGCTGAATTAGTGATCTAATAAGTGTATAGTAAAACGATTTGCTTTGTAACAGAATCGAATACACGACACACGTATTGCTATAATGTTGTTTTCCTATTCTTTTGTTTTCTGGATATTACTTGAGATTTTTTTCTTTACTAAAAGTTATTTATAATTAGTCGAGTGTTTTCTAAGAATGAAAGATGATGAAGAGAGGGATGAAAAGATTTGTTTGTTCTTTAATTTCATTAGATTAGCTTTTAGTTCTAATTATTTTTTGATCCGATTCTCGAAGACGACATTTGTTTTGTTCAGGAGTTATGAGAAGACGATGTGGGCAATTACAAAGATCCAGTCCCACGTCAGGAAGATGATTGCAGTCAGGAACTACAGAAAACTCAGGGTATATTAAAGAATTGTAAAATTACAGGGAATGTCAGCGTAATTTCCACTAACCCTCCATGCAAAGATGGCAATGTCCGATTCACTAAACGGTACCCTTCAAAGCCTCGTCTGATGAAGTACGACTTAGAAATCAATATTTATAATTTTGAAAACTGATTATTTTAATTGTGGCTTCTCTACAAGAGCGACAATTGCATGGAGGGCATGGAAACTGAAATTACGCGTTAAAGAATCTCAAATGAATCCAAATAGTTTGAAGAAAAAAACTTTACAATCCCGATATTGATTAATTCTAATTAATTTTTTCTCGATGAAAAAAAAAATATTTAATGTTTGAGGAGCATTTACATATCTAGAGGTTTATTGTATACTGTGGACATTTTGAAAGTAGCATTTCCATTTCTAGTTGTATACAATATACATTGTGTACTGGTAACAATTTAGCAGACGAGAATAGTGCAAACTTTTTTGAACATTTTCATAGTATTTGTGTGAACTAGATATTTTAGATTGAGTATCGAGCAAAGAAAGAAGCTCTTCGTCTTCGTGAAATGGAACAGAAAGAACTTGAGAGAAAATATGGAAAGAAGAAAGCAAAGGAAGTTGCACAGCAAAATTTCCAGGTATTTTTTGTATAACTCCCTGGCCGCAGTAATCTTCCCAGAAGGTGATAATCTATTTGGTGTACCGTCCCGTTTTGCCCTTTGTAGTCTGTAAGTATACTGTGCAACTTTCTCATACTGCATAAAAGTCGGAACGGCACTGCAAAGAAACCCAAGGTTATAATGCAAGGAAAGTTAATTGTAGTTGCGTATACTCTGCGTACATATTGAAACCAGTTCTCTTTGGGCGGAATCTGTAAAATCTGTAAACAAGAATAGATGCATCAGTGTTCGTTTAGTATCCGAGGAGGTTAATAGCATTAAATTTTGATAATTTTGATAATTCACATAAAAGTTTCCTATGACCAGAATCTTTCATTGATTTTTTAATGTAAAAGATGGATCCCATGTCAGGCTTCAACATCCGTCTTGTGTTTACATTACCGCCCAGAGACAGTACACTGCAGTACAAAAGATTCGTAGTGCGTACACCTCTGAAATAACTTTCCTTGCATTATAAACTTGAATAAACCCGAGTTTTATTGTGGCAAGTGAAATTAACATCAAGATGTGATTATTTAAAACCCAAAAGTCGTTAACATTTAGAAGCACAAACCAGAAAATACAAATAAATTACATTTCTTTATTTTATGCATGCATGGTATCTAGAAAAGTTAGGTTTACTTTTTTACATCTATATAACTGTGCCAGGGGTGCCACGGGTTCTTATAAAGCAGTGACTCATTCTATTCTCATCGCAAGTAAGATCTTCGCATTTTGATCCAGAATAATTAAAAGGGGAAAAATGAGTTGAATTTTATTATGTCGACCCTGTAAATCTGCATTCTAAAATAGTTTTTATCTGTTAGGATCGTATGGAAAACCTGGAGAGAGAGGAAGAAGAGGATGAGAGAAGACGAGAACAACAGAATAAAATGAACCAGCAGAAACTCCGAGATGCTGAACGGCGACAAGAGCAACCGATCGATGATTCGGCGGTGGTCGACGATATGTTTGGTTTCCTGGAGGAGCAAAAGGATTCGAACAGTGATGCTCCTGCTCCTAGTGCTTTCAGAGACCTGCCTGCTCCTAAGAATATTCAGAACGGAGAACTGATCATGGGAGTTCCTACAGTTCCAGAGGATCATGAGGAAACTAAGATCAATAATGCAAAATAGAAAAATCTGAAAATTATTTTTAACAATTTTATTTTAAATAACTTTATAACAATTGACAAAAAATCAATCGCTTTGCGTAATTTTAGGAAACAAAATTTCCGTTTCTGACTTTAATATTTTAATATCTAATAGTGTTTTGAGACTGATGAGCTATATATTGATCTTGTTTGAACCAGGATCTGAGCGAGTTTAAGTTTGCCAAGTATGCTGCAACCTATTTCCAGGGTAACGTGACCCATCAGTACTCTAGAAAACCTCTCAAGAACTCACTCCTACCTCTGCAAACACAGGGAGATCAGTTGGTAAGTCGGAGTAATTCCTCTCTTACAATTTGTGTTGTTAATCGATTTGAATAATTTAAAGAAAAAATTCAAAAAAAACTTTTAATTTTTTGAAAATTGTATAATGTTAAAGTTGGCTTTTATTAAACTTTACAAAATCTTTATTCACAAAAATAATTGTAAAAATGATTCAAAAACCTTTGTTCCAAAATATGTGTTTTTAAATCGTTTTTGGATTGCTTTTGGGTCGTTTTTTACATATATCTTCTGCCTGGGTCAAAATTTGGCATACTTAAAGAAATGTAAATGTTTAGAAATTAGAAAGCATTACATGCTTCTCTTACATTAACCCAAATCTTGGCACTGAAAGAAAACGACTGAAAAGCGATCCAACTGAAAACATATCACTTCTTACAATGATCTAGGGCATTCAACACATTGTATTGGAATTAACATGTTAAATCTATCTCCTTCGTTTCGTGAAAAAAGCCTTATTAATCGCCTCAAGTATTCTTATCCTTATATCTTTGAAACCTGATGATGTAAACCTTTAATATTTCGAACTTTGACTATTTATCTGGCAAACATGAGAGGTCTGCAAAAATTTGTATTAGAAAATTAGAGTATGATGAAAATTTCAGGATTTAGGACATTTACCAATGTTTTCAGAATTTAGAAATGGATTCATAAAAACTGTTTTAGGCTGGATTAGCGCTGTGGATAACTATTCTACGCTTTATGGGAGATCTTCCAGAACCAAAATATCATTCTATGGAGAAGGATAACACGTCAGTCATGACGAAGGTTACCGCAACCCTCGGCAGAAACTTCATCAAGAGTAAAGAATTCCAGGTAGCGTACAAATTGTAGAATACAGGCTTTTATTATATAATAAAGTAGTAATCATTGTTTGTCTGTCGGTTTGTATGTCCGATTAGAACTTATGAACCTCGTGACCCATTTGAATTGGATTCCCTGCCCTGGAATGTTCTTAGATTGATTAATTTAAAAATTCAAAAACTTTTGGGTTGACTTTTAGAGTATAAATATAATGCCCAGGTAAATTTAAATTTAATAATATTTCTGCATGTTTTAGGAAGCGCAATTGATGGGTTTGGACCCAACTATTCAGCCGGGAACTCAATCCTCAGCTCTAATGAAGGAGAAACAGAGATCAATTAGGTAACCGCAGTTCAAAATGTCATCTTCGACATTGCTTAATTTAGAACTTAATATTTTGTATCATTGAAGAAAGTGCACTGCTAGCTCTTCCAGCATAATTGTACAAAAATTTACAAGAATTGAGATTTTTTCCGGCAAAACAAAACCAAAATCATTAAAATTATCACTCAAAAATAAGGCATAGTAAAAAGAAGTAAAATAGACAAAATAAGTACTTTTTTGATTGTTTGCATTTTGGATAGGAACGTAAAAATGTAATATTTGATTATTAAAGTACATTTTTCCTCAATTCTTTTTATATGTATACAAACATGAATTTTTAAATCAGAACTGAAAACTAAACAGCTTGTACAATGTACATTTATAACGAAAATTGTTTAATATTCGAAGTGAACGCATGGCAAAATAAGAATGTGCTTAGTAAAAAATATGGAACTCTTCAAAAATAAAATGAAAAACTATAATTTTCAACAAAAAAAACAATTCTCCGACAAAATCTAGATTAGGACTGTAATGAGGGCTTTAAAGTTATTGTGTACGGGTAATTTTGTATGGTAAAATTGCTAGAATAAAGTTGTCGTATATACAGGGTGTCCCACGAAACATGACAGTTGATAAATAGTTTTGAATGTCGTCTTCCATACACTGTATTAGATATTAAAGGCTGTTTGCAGTTTATTTCGTTTAAAAAATCTTTTGCTCTAGTATATTTTACTTTGAAGTTAATTTTACTATAATATGACTCCTAAAGAATATTTTTATTATTGTCTTTCGTATTAAAAAAACTTATCAAATTATGGAAGAAGACATTCTAAACTATTTATACCAACTGTCATGTTTCGTGGGACACCCTGTATATAATATAATGAAGACGACTTTCTACTTCAGTTTTTATCTTTACCAAGCTTTCAAAAAGCATGGATGCACATAAAGAGAAGCTGTCAAATAACAGTTTATTTTTAATTATTTGTTAACTTGTGATTTGAAAGAAGCTTGTTAGAAATCAAAGCTTTAAGTAAAAAGGCGTCTTTATGTATTGATATAAAAGCAGACCATTATATGATTGTTTATTTACCAGGCATAAATTGGTTTCCCTGACGCTAAAGCGTAAGAGTAAAATGGGAGATGAGATAAAGCGTAAACTAGAAGATGAAGAATATACAGCAGACTCATACAATTCATGGTTGGATTCCAGACCTACATCTAACCTAGAGAAACTACATTTCATCATAGGTATACATTATACATTGTACATTATAGACCTACATCTAACCTAGATAATCTACATTTTATCATAGGTATACATTATACATTGTACATTATACATTTATAGACCTAATTAAACCTAGGGAAACTATATTTTATCATAGGTATAAATTATACATTGTACATTATTCATTTATAGACCTAATTGAATCTAGAGAATCTACATTTTATCATAGGTATACATTATATATTGTACATTATAGACCTACATTAAACATAGAGAAACTACATTTCATCATTTTAACATTATACATTGTACATTATAGACCTACATTAAACATAGAGAAACTACATTTTATCTTATTTTATTTTTGTACTAAATATATTATATGTTAAAGAAACTGATTACTGGCGTCAAACTCTAAATTTCAAATATTTTGAGAAATCTTATCAGCCTGATAGTCTAAACATTTTATATTTTAAACTTTGACTCTGGAGAGTGTGTTCCCTTAACACATTGTTTCATTGAAATATGTGCCAGTGATGCCCTGCCAGCCAATGCATTATGGTGGTTCGGTTAGATGAAAGCTTAACCCTGACTCCTACGGGATGATGATTGTCCATTTTATTCATTTGTTTATTTATCATAGGTATAATTTCGTAAAAATAAGATTGTTTTTTACCTAGACTATGGCTAAATTGTATCAAAGGTATAATTCTTTTTAATGAATTGCATTGTATTATAGGACATGGTATACTCCGAGCAGAACTAAGAGATGAGATATATTGTCAAATTTGTAAACAGCTGACTAATAATCCTTCAAAATCTTCTCATGCCAGAGGATGGATCCTTCTCTCACTTTGTGTTGGGTGCTTCGCGCCCTCAGACAAGTTTGTCAAACATCTTAGGTAGGTGCACTCGTCAATTACATATATGTACATACAAAGCTTAGTCCGTGACGAAGGTTCAATTTTTGAACGGTTTTTTTGTACATTAAAAACATCCATTTAAAATTGTCGATATAACTATTAAATGTGTTACTAAGTTTTTCTTTGTTTAATTGGAAATCGTAAATTTTTAGTAGATATTTTTAATGATTGATAAATAAAAAATTTGTTTAAAACTGAGGCACTAGTACGAACCAGGGGGTTTCTCTAGAGACACAGCCTGTAAATCAAGTAGGAACTAGGAAGAAAAGGTTTTTAAAATCGGTTAAGCATATAAATATTTTCAACTTAGTAACATTGTCACCCTGCATATTTTGTAAAGTTTTATTTATAAAATCAGGACACAAGAATCAAGATCTATGCATATCTTAAAGGGGTTAAAAGTTTAAACTTGATTATCATTAGATTAGAAGATGGTTAAAAATTTGATTTGTTTCTGTAAATAATATTCATTAGTCACAATCGTTCAAGGTTTTTTTCTCAGGGCATTAGGTAATTTAAACATAGTTAGGATAATTTCTTAATCTGATATCTGGTTCGCAAACCATATGATTAAAAAAAAAGTTTAGGAATTTTTTTTAATCCTGGATTGTTCAGGTCATTTATCCGAGATGGTCCTCCTGGGTATGCTCCGTACTGTGAGGAAAGGTTGAAGAGAACCTTTAATAATGGAACCAGGAACCAGCCTCCCAGCTGGCTGGAACTACAAGCTACTAAATCAAAGAAACCAATCATGCTTCCAATTACGTTCATGGACGGAAATACAAAGGAAAATTTCAAAATATTTCAAATTATTACGTTTAAGCAATCATTTATGTGGTCATACGTTTTTCTTCTTCAGTACTTACCGCCCACTTGCCTAATTCGATATTTTTTACAGAATCGACCATTTCCCTTCTTATTGATTTTTAGAAATTATGTTTAAAAAAGTGTTCAGCTCCTCAGGGGAACAATTTATCTCACATTATGGTGCAGAAACTTTTATAGAAAAAAAAGATTGCATGAAAAGTGTACAGTTTTCTTTAACTTACAAATATTTTCATTTTACTTTTTTAATCTTAAAATTTGAAAGAATATTTTGAACACTAGACGCTGTTGGCTGATTCAGCAACAACAGCCCGTGAGCTGTGTAACCAGCTGTCAGATAAGATTGGGCTCAAGGATCAGTTTGGATTCTCCCTCTACATTGCACTATTTGATAAGGTACCTGGAGCCATCCATTTCAACTAACCAACTTCCGACCTTGTTCAAATGATCGTTCTAAGTTAAGTGACCCTCCACACGGAACCTTGAATCCTTAATCTATTCAATAATGTTTGGAAAGGGTTTTATTCTGAAAATTTCTCCATTGTTTCTGAAGCAATTTCTCCATTGTTTATGAAGCAGTTTCTCCATTGTTTCTTAAGCAATTTCTCCATTGTTTATGAAGCAATCAGTTGCTAAAAATTAAAGATAAAAATCTATTTAATTGTTTGATCTGACAAAGCTTTTAACGGTGCTGTCGTGAATCAGACATCCCACTTTATTATTGAGCTAGGTATACTTATAAATTACGTTCACAGTCCCTTAAATGGCCTAATCTCTTCCCACTAATGGGATAGACAGGGTTCAGAGCTATTTTTTCGTTAGATTATTTTTCAACTAAAAATTCCTTGGCCAAGATTACGCCAAAAAAAATATAAAAGAAAAATCTAATTTTGCTTTAAAGGTTTTAAAAATTTAAAAGATTGTTGAATAAAATTTGATATCAAAAATTGCAAGAAAAGTGTTTTTGTCATAAATAACTATAAACTAACACTAAGATCGGGGCTTCGGTACACAACTCTTTTGTTTAAATTGTAATTGTTATTTGTAGGTATCTAGCCTGGGTAGTGGAGGGGATCACGTGATGGATGCAATATCTCAGTGTGAACAGTACGCCAAGGAACAGGGGGCGCAGGAGAGAAATGCCCCCTGGAGACTTTTCTTCAGGTTAGATTATTTTTTTTACAGAATTTGTATTTTATCCCATCTCACTTCTAAATAGTTGGGATTTGGGTCCTTGTTATTTAAAATGTTTTCTATATAAACTCAGAGGCCAAAGGAATTGAGTCTTTGCCACAAACTCTGGTTTTTAAATCCCTAAATCCTAAAAACGCAATGTTGTAGACCTAAGATATTTCAAACTATAACTTCTGTTCAAAGTTTGAAATCTCCAAGTTTTACATAATTTGGTTGTGGATGTATAGGTATTAGAAAATTGGGATTTGTTGCAAAAACTCAATTCCTTTAAAGAACTCAAACCGCGTTGATGAACCACCAAAAAGCCTGAAACATTAAAACGTCTCAAATTTAAAACGCGACTCAAATTCTTTAAATCGGCCTCTGGACAGACTTCGATATAAATCAATAAATATGAATCAATACAAATTCTACTTTTTCACTTTGTAGAAGGACTGCTATTCTAATTTTTAGTTATTTTCTCTATAAGAGGGATATAATTAATATCTGATCAATAATGCGGAAGATATTGTCGTTTTATACATGAAGATCTGATCATTTCCTTAATGCTTCTGAAGCAGAAATGTGAGCAAGTCACTTTTTATTGAGAAATCATGATTGAAAAGAGTCATTTTTTAAAAAGAAGCGTTTATTCAAACCTGATCATGGTACCTTTGTGAATCTGTTATGGCACTTAATAAATAAAGGGTTACTTGAACTCGTTATGTTTATATATTTATCTATTTGTTTATTTATTTGTTTAATTATCAGGAAGGAGATATTCGCCCCCTGGCATGATCCTACAGAGGACTCTGTAGCTACAAACCTCATCTATCAACAGAATGTGAGAGGAGTTAAATTCGGAGAATACAGGTTAAACAACTTAAACTTTTTATATCATTTATTACCTCATTTTGTTCATTTGTTTAACTTTACTGAAGGAAATATCATTTTTATAACTTTTGTATAAAGTTAGCAACAAAGTTCATGTCATACAAACAATAGACCATTTTTAACTGTTTTGGTTTGGCATCTTTTCCTTTGACTCTGAAAATTGCGAAGATTTAAAGATTTTAGAAACTTAATTCTAGGAAAAATTCTTAGCATTTTTTTATCATTTTACTAGAAAAAAATCCAAGCGCCATATATTTTACTTTTTTTTCTTTTTGATTGTATAATTTGAACTTTTTTTAACAGTATTTAATCATTGCAAAAAAAAATGGAAAAACGGTGCAAAAAATCCCAATATTATAATTTGCACTGGATCCCACTCCCCCCACGCCTTATACTTGTAAACACAAGTTTACACAGAGTGTTTTTTATAAAGAAAAGTCAAAAATAACTTTTCTTGTAATTTCTGAAGAAAAACATCAATGTGAGTTACAAAGAAATGAAAATTAACTTCCTTCAGAGAAAATAGTTTTTTTTATAAAAAAAAATCAAAAACAACTTTGCTGTATTTTCTGCAAAGAAAAAAACAATGTGAGTTCCTTTAGAGAAATTGCATACACAACGTGTTTTTTTATAAAAACTTAAATAACAACTTACTTTTTTTCTTAAGGAAAAAAATCAACGTGAGCTACAAAGAAATGAAAATATAAATCTAAAAAAATGAAAAACATGTTGATTATTAAACTGTTTTCTCCACACACACACTCGACAAAACAGAATTTTACAGAATGAATTTGACCCTCTTCTTCTAATAAAAGGAGAAGATCAAAGGAATTGAGTCTTTGCCGCAAACTCAGATTTTCTAATCTTTACAACCCAATGTCGTAGACTTTAGATATGTCAAACTATGAATTCTGTTCGACAATTTAATTTAAGTTTGAAATATAAAAGATTTATATTGTCAGTTTGCAAAGATGTGGCACTGTAATTAAAAGGTTGCAAGCTTTCAAGCAAAAATCAATGAGAATTTTGTTAATTACCTCGTAAAACCCAAAGCTAACAGCAAGTGCTTTATAGTGCTAAAATGTAAAAGTAAAGGGGTAAAGAAAAGCATTTGTGAGTTAATACGGTAAAATCAAAGCCCTGTCTTAAAAATTGACGAGACTTTTTATTAGGAGACTGAATCTATGTGATAGGGATTAGAAAATTTGATTTTGTGGCAAAGACTCAATATATTTCTGCGATATTACTCGATCATTAACTCTTGAATACGAGTTATGATTGAGAGCCCGATTTTAACCTGACGTAAAATTTAGTTTAACTAGAAATTCAAGGCGCTTCGCGCCCTTCTTTCTAGCCTTAGAGGGCGCTTCGCGCCCATCTTCTAAATTAATTGTAAACATGTTCTCTTTGTGTACATCGTAAAACTAAACAAAAATAATTTGCGGATTTTTACAAAAAATTTCGCGGATTTTCAAAATTTTAAAAAATTTAATGACGATCGAATTTTGATAGAGACAAATATTTGAAATTTTGATGATTCATAAACCTTCCCTGGGCTCCCTAGATGTCCCACAAAAAATTTGGGCCCGATCGGTTCAGCCGTTTTGACGTTTATTGGATACAAACAAACAAACAGACAAACAAACAAACAGACAAGCCAAATTTATATATAGAAGGGACTGTAAAGGAAAAATAAAAAGGGTGTATAGGCTGAAACTTAAGTATCTTAGGAATTGATCGAGACCCTTGAGAGTTCTATGTGATGTTCCTGTCTCGAGAAAGTGTCAAATTTATACGAAAATTTATGTATAGGAAATTTTGTACAAAAATCGTAGGTTTTAACAGATGATATTCAACAAGTACGCAACCAGTCTGAAAACAACGATATCCCAGAGGAGTATAAGTAACTTAGGTTTCCTCCCATTATTATTTGAATTAAATTATTTTTTCTATTTTTAATAGATATAATTGATAATGTTATTACGTCCATATCACGTGGCCAGAGTTCTGGTCACGTGATATGGATGTATTTATTATATTGTAGAAGCAATAATTTGAAACTCAATAGGAAAATCCGGGAACAAGAAAACCGGATACCATATCAATTATATCTATTAAAGATGAAAAATTAGAATTATAAAATTATAATAGGAGCAAATGTAACCTTTGGAATAGCGTCGTTTTTAGATTGGTTGCGTATTTGCTGAATATGATCTGTTTTAACCTACTATTTTTATACAAAATGTTATATATATATAGATTTTCGTATAAATTTGACACAGTTTTATATCAATTTCTCGAGACAGGAACATCAGATAAAACTCTTATGGGTCTCGATCAACTCCTAAAATACTTAGGTTTCAGCCCTAGGCCACCTTTCATTTTTCCTTTACAGTCCCTTATATTTACCGTCACACAGGTGTGAGAAGGAAGAAGATTTAGCAATGATAGCTGCTCAGCAATACTTTATAGAATACGGGACAGATCTCAACCAAGAAAGGTAAATTTAAAGGGACTGTTCACTTTTTACGACCTTTTGTTATTAGATTTTAAAAGAGAGTTAACCATGTTTTAAAAAATGAGATGTCAACATTTTTAAATGCAAAACTAACCACCAAGAGTCTTGCATTTCGCGAGAACTGACGAAGAAGAAAATTTCTAATATTTGCATGTCTGCTTGTTTAATAGAAAAGTTCTACACTCTAAATTTAGAAACCAAAAAAATCATTAAACTTTTGCTTCCGAATAAGCGATTTGCTGTCACATAATTGGCAGTCATCCAACTTTTGCTGCCAAGGAAGCGATTTTTTTTTTACTTCTTAATTTAGAGTGTAGGATTCTGTTCTTTAAAAACTGGTTTTAGGTGTAAACTGTTTTTGTAAATAAAAATGATTTTTTTTTAATTGAAGGGTTTTACTAAAAATTACTTAAACATTTTTTTTTTGAATATATAAGTTCCTGTTTGATTTATTTAGGTTGCTTGCTCAGCTCCCCAACTATATACCTGACTACTGCTTAACTGGAGATAAGCCACCAGAACACTGGAATTCACTCATCGTCAATGCATTTAAAAAGGTACAGAACAAATTTTGAAATGTTTTTTATCAATTTTTGATTTGATTTTTTTAATCGAAGATTTTCAGAAACCAATCACTTATAACAGTTATATAGTTTTGAGAATAAAAAATATAAGATTTTAGGGATAATTTAGTATTTAGTATTTACTCTTCCAACTTACTTCACAAAATCTCTCTTATTCAGTTTTGTTTTGTTTTAACCTATATTTCTAATCTCAGACCTCTCTTTCTTTTCTAATGCTCTAATCATTTCTTTTGGCTACCCCTCATCACTATCTTTTTATCTTTATCTAACCTGACCAGGAATTTATAATCATAAAACCTTTCGTTTCTTTAATCCCTAAACCTTTCGTTTCTTTAATCCCTAAATCTTTCGTTTCTTTTAATCCCAAACCTTTAGTTTCTTATAATCCCTAGACCTTTCGTTTCTTTAATCCCTAAACCTTTCGTTTCTTTAATCCCTAAACCTTTCGTTTCTTGAATCCCTAAACCTTTCGTTTCTGTAATCCCTAAACCTTTCGTTTCTTTAATACCTAAACCTTTAGTTTCTTTAAATCCCCAAACCTTTAGTTTCTTTTAATCCCTAAACCTTTAGTTTCTTTAAATCCCCAAACCTTTAGTTTCTTTTAATCTCTAAATCTTTCGTTTCTTTTAATCCCAAACCTTTAGTTTCTTATAATCCCTAAACCTTTCGTTTCTTTAATCCCTAAACCTTTCGTTTCTTGAATCCCTAAACCTTTCGTTTCTTGAATCCCTAAACCTTTCGTTTCTGTAATCCCTAAACCTTACGTTTCATTAAATCCCCAAACCTTTCGATTCTTTTAATCCCTAAACCTTTAGTTTCTTTAAATCTCCAAACCTTTAGTTTCTTTTAATCTCTAAACCTTTCTTTTCATTAAATCTCCAAACCTTCAATTTCTTTTAATCCCTAAAACTTAGATTTTCTAATCCACAACCCTTTCGTTTCTTTAAATCCCCAAACTGTTAGTTTCTTTTAATCCCAAATCCTTTAGTAAACTTAGTTTTTTATAATACCTAAACCTTTAATTTCGTTTAGTCCCAAACCTTTCGTTTCTTTTAATCCCTATACCTTTCGATTATTTTAATCCCCAAACCTTTAGTTTCTCTTAATTCCCAAACGATTCTTTTAATCCCTAAACCTTTCATTTATTATAATCCCTAAATATTTCATTTCTATTAATCACCAAACCTCTTACCTTAAACACTCCCAAAATTCACCAAACCTCACGTTCTCCCCAATTTATTTTAAAACCTGAAAGCTTTATATCTTTATATCTTTATATACATTATGGAAACCCTGTGATATTTAAAAATTTGACTATTTGATTTATTAAAATTTAAATATAAGAAACCAGGCATTTTTATCTTTAGTATATTGTGCCTTTTTATTTATAAATGTATTGTATAGCTACTACGTGAAGGAGAGGGTAGGATCTCTGAAAGCTAAGGAGGATGTTGTCAGCTATGCTAAATATAAATGTATTGTAGAGCTACTACGTGAAGGAGAGGGTAGGATCCCTGAAAGCTAAGGAGGATGTTGTCAGCTATGCTAAATATTAATGTATTGTAGAGCTACTACGTGAAGGAAAGGGTAGGATCCCTGAAAGCTAAGGAGGATGTTGTCAGCTATGCTAAATATAAATGTATTGTATAGAGATACTACGTGAAGGAGAGAGTAGGATCCTTGAAAGCTAAGGAGAATGTTGTCAGCTATGCTATAAAATATAAATGTATTGTAGAGCTATTATGTGAAGGAGAGGGTAGGATCCCTGAAAGCTAAGGAGGATGTTGTCAGCTATGCTATAAAATATAAATGTATTGTAGAGCTACTATGTGAAGGAGAGGGTAGGATCCCTGAAAGCTATGGAGAATGTTGTCAGCTATGCTAAATATAAATGTATTGTAGAGCTACTACGTGAAGGAGAGGGTAGGATCCCTGAAAGCTAAGGAGGATGTTGTCAGCTATGCTAAATATAAGTGGCCCCTTTTATTCTCAAGGTTCTACGAGGCTTTCAGATATTCAGGTAAACATCTTTTATCAATATTTATGGATAAATTAGTTGAGTATTTTATGTGACAAAATTTGTTCTTTTGAAGAACTTTGTTCGTTTTCATTATTTTGAGGATAAACTTGTTAACCTTTATTTCTTTTTATTAATATACACAAAGTAGTTGAAAAGTGAATCCAATGACGAAGAGCTTTTGTGCTGTTGTTATAAAGAGAATATTCTTTTTATATCAACCATTAAAAAAAGTTGGAAATTTTCACCATATATTTAATATTTTAGGTCCAAACCTACCGAAGAATGATGTGATAATAGCTGTGAACTGGACAGGTGTTTATGTAGTTGATGATCAGGAACAAGTTCTTCTAGAACTTTCTTTCCCAGAGATAACTACAGTTTCATCACAGAAGTAAGTATATATCTATATAATTGTTGACAGATAACAGCAACACGCTAGACAAATCCGGATAATAGGCCGGTTAGGATTTTGAAAGGGGTGTTTATTATCCCCAGACGATTCTTTCCCGATGGCCGAACAATACACACACAACAGAGTAACCCCGTCACAGAAATTCGATAACAAAATCTTTATTTCCTAAAAAATAACATAAATTATAGGTCATGTTTAATTGTACAATGTTATAATGAATGTTAATAGTAGAAAAAATCTTACGAATTATTTAAGTATAGAAGGGGTGACTTATTTGTTGATCAGTATTGA